ATTAGCGGACCCAGGGGAGATAAGGTGGGGTCCCCATAGAAGACGGCTTCGTCGAATTGGACATGGCGTGACCTGACGACGCGCTTCGCAGATGGGTCCCACAGGATATAGCCAGCATCGCGCACGTGTCCCAGGAGGAAGCAACGGCGGGAAACGAACTCGTATTTCCGACGGGTGTCGTCTGGGATGTGAGAGTAGGCAAGGCAGCCAAAGGGGCGGAGGTAGCTCACGTCGGGTTTGCGACCGTAGAAAGCCTCAAATGGAGTCCGACCATCAAGCGCTGAGGAGGGGAGGACGTTCTTGATGTGAGCAGAGTGCAGGATCGCCCAGCCCCAGAAGGAACGCGGGAAACCACTCTGGTGGTGGCAGCTGAGGGCACGAGTGACGACGGTCTGGTGGCCACGCTCAGCAACCCCGTTCTGCTGGGGTGTGTAGGGCATGGTGACTTCATGCTCAATGCCCCGCTCCGCTAGGTACTCACTGAAATCCTTCGATACGTATTCCCCACCATTGTCGCTACGAAGACGTTTGATACGTCCGCCAGACTGAGTCTCCATCCATGGCACGAACTTCTTGAAGAGCTCGAAGACTTCGGACTTCGCGCGCATAAGATATACGAGTGAGTAGCGTGTGTAGTCGTCAGTGAACATGACGAAGTACGAGTCGCCAGTGGAGGATGCGACACTGACGGGTCCCCAGACGTCTGAGTGCACAAGTTCTGCAGGTGCCAAGGCTCGTCGTGCAGCGTTTGGAAAGGGAGATCGCCGGTGCTTACCCATGAGGCAAGAGACACACTGGATCAGGTCAGCATCACCACTGGTGCTGTGGAGTGATGAGGAGGGGAGTGACAGTCCGTCAACGTGTTCGCTCGCTTTGAGGACCGTGGAGAATCCAGCATGGCCCAATCGGCGATGCCAGGTCTGCAGGGATAAGGCAGTAGGAGGCGACTGTGTGAGCATAGCGGATGCACCAGTAATGTACCATGCAGCGAGTAAGTACAGCCCATTGCGAGAATGGACGTGTGCAAGCGGTGGCCCGTGTCCATCACCAGCACGAAGCATTCCTCCTTTGGAGGAAGAGATGAACGAAATGCACTCAGATGTGAGGCACAATACTGAGACAAGGGTACACCGCAGGTCAGGAACGTGAAGGAAGTCAAAATCTCGAATCGTTGAGGATTGCTCATACTGTAAGACGAGCCGTACAGTCCCCCAGCCAGGGGCTAGGACCTCATGATTATCGGCGAGTTTCACACGGATGGGTTCATCGAGCTTCGTGTAGTGGGCAAAACGTGAAATATCAGGCTCCATATGGGCCGTGGACGCTGAGTCTACATGAATAGAGCCTACAGGCATAGTGAGGGAGGACGAGATATTGGCAGTATGCTCTTTTAAGGTGAGAAAGAATGGAGATTGTGGTATAGCGTTGGGTGAGGTAGCATCCGCGTTAGGTCGGTCTGCCAATGGAGATTCCGTGTTAGTGGCGACAGCGGGAGGGGACGAACGTGGTGCTGACTTCTTCTCATCTTTAGCGAGGCGTGCACGACATTGTGCCCAGATGTGGCCAGCCTTTTGACAATGGCCACACTTAGGTCTCCATCCCACAATCCAGCCGTCTCCCTTTGATTCATCAAAGCCCTTGGGAGGGACGCGATCACTCGTCTTGGGGGGTGCACTGTTCCCTCGATGTCCAGAGAGCATAGCAACGTGCTCTGTCGTGCTACTGGTCCCTGCACGATGCAACTCCTGGGTCTTCAACCGATTCACAATGTCGTTGAAGTCCAGCGAGGCATCGCTGTTAACGAGTGTTTGGCGAAGAGGGTCGTAATAGTCAGGGAGAGCACGGAGTAGGATGTGCACGAAGATGGCGTCTGGAATCTTGTATTCCTCCTTCATAGCAGTAGCGCCAGACGTAGTAGAGGGTGGAGAAACTGAGGATGTGGATGGTGCGACTGAGAGTGCTGCGAGGTCCGACTTTAGGACAATGAGTGTCTGTAATGTCTCCGCAATGGACGTGCTGTCGTGCGCCTTTGGGACCGTGAATAGATGATCGAGATATTGGTTGAATCGAATGGCTTTCTGGGGAAGATATTTCTTGTCCAGGGCGATCCAAGCAAGGTGCGGATTGTCAATATCACGTAGATAGACGAAGTCCTGTGCATCGATGGCGGTGGAGAGAGCACTGAGGGTGAGGAGTCGACGTTGTCTGTAGAGCTTCACCCGCTCGTCGTGTTTCCCCTTGCGGAGGATATTCTGGTCAGAGTCTGCAAGTTGGGCTGGTGGGGACGGTTCTACTTCGTCTCCACTGACATAGGACCATAGTCCAATACCGCCCGCCCACATCTTAAAACCTGTCGCCCATTGGGAGTAATTAGAGCCGTCGAGAGTGAGTTTCTCGTGCGGGTACTTCTCGGTTTTTGGGAGAGAGTCCGATGATGTCATAGTGATCAACAGTTAGAGGTGACACTTCGACAGTGGTTTGGAACCCGGTAGGAAGTGTGATGGGTGAACGGACGTTCGAGAAGTGCTGATGCGAGAGATGGGGTAATGCCGCTGTCCTTTCAGCCAGGGCTCATAACCTGTTGAGAGACGAGAACTAGAGTACGAGGCTCAGTCACGGTTAAAGGGACTACATTCAATGTAGTACTACAAACCTAGAGTACGAGGCTAATGTATATAGTGAGTATAATGGAATAAGAAAGAGGAAAAATATGATACACACCTCAGTCACGGTTAAAGGGACTGAGGTGTGTTGGCGCGTGTTCGTAGTCTTATATAGAGTCAGAATAGAGTTAGAATACGGTTGAAAACGGAAAGAGAAAATGAGTAAGGTACTGTTACTGTCTTGCATTCATATATGTCAGGACGTCGTGACGTCCTGGGTGCCCTGGTGGTCAGGCGCACTCTCAACAATTTATCTGCACTAGGTCCAGATTCATGTGTAGGCTTAGTGACATGTGTGGGCCCATGATGTTTGTGATGCCTTGGTATTAATGACTGGGTCCACGAGTGACAATTAATAGTGGAAGAATCATATGGATCAGCCTAGTAAGTGAAATGTCAGAAATTGATGTCTGAGTCCAGTGTGATGAAGTGGAATTTTATGGCTAGGCTAAAGATGGTGATGTACAAATGTAAGTATCAGACCCAGACATCAAATTCTAACTCATCCAACTAGGTCCAATCCTTGCATTTGTATATCACCACCTTTGGCTCAGTCATTAGATTCCACCTCATTGCACTAGGTGAGTGCATCAATTTCTGACATCACACTTAGGCCCAACTATATAATCCTTCTATTGTTAGTTGTCACTCATGGGCCCAGTCATTAATACAAAGGCATTACAAACATCATGGGCTCACCCATGTCTCTCTTGAGTCAATTGAAGTGCTTAGTGTTAAGCAGTGATTATAGAATAGCAGAATTTAGACTTGGAGTCAGACAATCTGCAAGATGGTGATGTAAATTTGTTAAGAGATAAAGAATACATGGTGCTATGTAAGTAATTCTAAGTGTCATTCTTTGCCAAGTAAATTGTCACCACAGCATTAAAGTCTAAGTAATTCTAAGTGTGCTCACAGGACATGGAAGCAAGTCGGAAGCAAAGCAAGTATGTAAGTAAGGATTCATGACATGAAGATACAATATGTTTGTGAGGTTGGATTAGACAATGGAATCATGTGCGACATGGTGGTAGTGCACTGTAGGAAGCTAAGTTGCAAAAATCAGAAACAGAGGCACACTTCTATTACATTTCCCATAGTATATAAACCCTATAACATCTCTGTATTTCCTCAGTTCAAATATCATCTTAGATTATGCTCACTCCTGCCTCTGTTTAACTTGAGTTTCTCCTCTTGTTGTTCTCCAAAAGTCTTAGGATTGATTCCAATTGACTATACATCTCTGCCTCCACCTCTGGTGGTCCTCTGCTGTTGGTTTCTACTCCAGACTTCATCCAAGTAGCCTTAACTCTTGTTTCCAAATGTCTGCTGGAATTCTTAGTGGTTTCATGGAAAAAAAAAGTTTCATCATTGGCAGGTTTCAAACCTGCAAAGTCCAAGAGATACAGATTTTAACTCTGATAATCACTGGTGATTTCATCTTTAGCGGGTTTTGAACCCACAAATGCAGATTGGAAACAGATTTGGATTCTGTTGTAGCAACTGTCTGACTAACACCATTTGAATGCATGTTAAAAGAAGACATTCAAAAGTGAATCTGCAAGGTAAGTCTACCATTCCCTGTCACTCACAATGTTTTCCCTCAGCTGAACAGATGAATTGAATACAGACTGTGATACAACACTTTCAAAGAGCGAGAGAAGAGCGACATGTAGGCAACTGCATGGGTATACCCCCAGGTATCAGCAGTCAAACCCATACCCATACCCACAGATATACCTGTACCCCAACTGCGGGTATGGGTTTCACAACAGGTATCTGCAAAACAGACCCGGGATATGACCCATGGAGGGTATACCTGCAGGTATCAATGAATTATGTACCTACGAGATAACAAAAGTAGTAGTCAGTCAGTCTGCACTATTGATGCTGTCCCATCCATCATCCAAAGCTTCATCATCTCCCACGACATCTGGAAGCTTTGATACCTTAATCACGTCCTCGGACTCGATGAGGCCCAATTCACTCCATTGGCCAAGACAAAGAAGTGCACGTGATGACTGTGCCAAAAGACAACTTCTGACATGTGTCAGGATGAGGCGGCCATGACTGAACAGTCATTCAACATCCACAGATGTTGCTGTGGCAAAATATAAGCCCACAGCATGTCAAAAAAATTAGTTACATACTGGGGATGGTTAGGTAGTCCATAGCCATGCATGAAAGCCATGGGAAAGACTTCTGACACTCAAGCCACCAACCAATAGGGTCAGTGACACGTTCAACATCCATGCTGAGATATCAGTCGAGCTCAGAGCATTGACTGGCAGGTTTTGGGGGTGCGAGTGCCAGGAGATTGTCAAATATATTATCACTCTAAGAATTATTCAGTACAGATACGAAACAAAATAAAATAAAACTTGCCATCTGCGCATCATTGTTTGACTTGAAGACGTCATTCTCGTACCCAGTGTCAGAGTCGTCATTGATTGATGAGTATGAATCTTCAAATTCCTTGCGGACAACTTGCTCCGTGATTTTGATCCAGCCATCTTCCCATTGCACAGCCTTAAAGTAGGCTAGTTTGTGCTGTGGATGTAGGACTAGAAGTATACAAATGTTAGTTGATATAAATAAGTAAAGATTCAGAACATACCCGTTGATATGTGATATGTCTGAGATCTGTCTGTGAGCTGGTAATAGTGTTTGAGAGTGTTCTTGGCCAGCCAGACTGCTGAGCGAATTGAAGGAAGGTATTTCTTGTTGTAGGAGTATGATATGAGCATCCTGTTGATGTGATCCATTGCTGGAATCACTGTCGTGAGGTTGGGAGTTGCTCATGAAAGGTACAAACAATGTGAGCGCAGTTGTGACACACAAGGAATGCACAGACCTCAAGTACATCATGCAGCTGTTCTAGTATTACCCACTCATGATCCTCCAACTTGAACTTCTGCAAGCCCAAGTCCCACCATTGGGTGACGGCATCTATGGCTTCTCGATGTCCAACAGCGTAACTCAGAATATCAAAGGTCAAAATCCATTGAGTTGCCACATCTCACAGCATGAGCATTTGTGACTGTGCCAAGTCTTGCAGGATGCTGCACCATGCTGGAAGGATGATGGTGGTCAAGTGGATGATTTTGTATGCGAGCTTTTGCAACTGGGATATGGATTAGGATCAATGGTGAGTTTTATTAGTTTGATTGAACTTACTTTGGCAAGCGCTGATTTTACTGGTCGAATGTCTTTCTCTAGTGTTACTTGTTCTTCCGCATCCAACACCTCAACCTCATCAATCAATCCCTCATTGTTATCTTCCTCACACCCGATTTCTGCATCTTCCTCAATATCGGCACTCAAGTCTTGAAGCTCAAGGTCGACATCCTGTTTCTTCACATCGAACTCTCAGATCAGTGATTTTGCCACGAGATTTACGGTGTGGAGGAAACACCTCGTGTGAGTTGCTGCTCTGCCAAATTCAGGTACCTTACTACTGAGTTCACAGATCATTGTGTCATTGTTGGACACATTATCACAAGTCACGCTCAGGATCTGCGCATGACACATTTAGCTGCAGGTATGTTTTTTTTTGGTTTAAAAATTACCTTTTCTGATATGTCAAATTCATCTAGCATCTTTGCAAATGTCTCTGCAAGCTCTTCGCCGGTGTGGGACTGTTGTCTCATCAGTTGATAAGTATGTGCTCCCTTTATAAATTTTACCTTTGCAACTTCAATCACATCTAACAGAATACTCAGTGGCTCCCCTTTATACTCAAAGTGCGCCGAAAACGCGACCAGCACGCAATAGTTGGGCAATGTCCAACCATCCATAGTGAAATTAATCTTGCCTTTGTATTCCTGGTACATTTTGAATACTTAATTGTTTTCTGATAAAAAAAAACACTGATGCGCAACATCCTAGCCACCCATTTTCGAGTTCGTGCAAAGATGAGTCGCACATCGTGAGAAACTGTGGACAGGGAAGGTATGTAGTATTTGGGTCTCCCTGTTATCATCAGCGACTGAAAAGCACGGTCCTTGACTATATCGAATGGACGTAGGCTCTCGGCCACCCAACGAACAATTTCCACCCTGAATGCGTTGTTAGACTTGGACTCCCAGGACCATACTAGGACCATACCTTGTTTTGGTGTGAGTGTGTTGACAGTGCGAGTACATTATTTTTCCTTTGCCTTTCTGTTCAAAGGATGCAGTAATGGATCCATTTCGCAGAATACTTCCTATGATCTTGTGGCACACTTCATTCACATCCTTCGCACTATCTGCAGCTTTCAAGACTTCGTCTCCCCAGCACAAGCGCACATGCTTCCGCATGTTGCCTGTGGATCGTGCATCGCCCTTATCAAGGAACCATTGTACTTTGACCTTGCAACCCCTTGCTTGGCACTTGAACTCATGTGCACAATGATCACCAATCTCAATGATGTGCGGTGTGGGATCAAAAACGTGTAAACAGATGAGTTCCATTCTTTCATTAGCCGCTCTGTATAATCAATTAATCTGATATTGATGTGTAGGTTGCTGGACTCACTCAGCTCATCTTCAGGATCCTCATCAGCATCATCAACCTCATCACCATTTGCGGGCTCATTATTGTCCAGGTCGATATATTCATGCAATGCTTCCTCCTCCTCTGTGTGCACAATGGCATGCCTACTCACAACTGGCAGTGGAGTCGGTGACAGTGATAGTATCCTATCTTTGTCTGTGGATGTGTTATTGGCCAGAGTCATGCTCCCCGCTGGTACATTTATTTTGGCCTTTTTGGGTAGCAGTGGATTAATGTTATCTCCACCACCATCAGGTTTATGCTTCTTTGAAGAAGCTTTATCTTCCAATGCGGCTTTAGCTTTATCGGTCATCTTGATGACACATGTTGCTGGAGCTGCAAGGGCTTCATTGAGTCACATGGTGGACAGTGGTTGGGCGATGAAAATTTGCAAGGCCAGAGCCATCATGCCGGTAATGTATTATAGCACTATATCATTGATTGTTTAAAGTTTGACTGTTTTTAACTGTACAGTACTGCTGTTTGTAGTGAGTTTGATATGATAGTATTTGTTGCAAGGCACTCTGTTTTGATCGAAACCTGGCGCAAGGGTACGGGTACGGGTAATGCAATACCAAACCTGTACACATACCACACAGGTACCCATACCCTGCACCCGCATGGGCATACCCATACCTATGCAGTTCCCTAGCGACATGATGATGAAAGGTCTCAAATACAGTACACTTCAACCTTATACATAAGTGAATGGTGTCCAGATGGCTCTTTTGAATCTTTTTCTTGAATCCCAGCCTTTACAGATGTGTATTCTTCCTCATTCCCCAGGTCATTAGGATCAAACTTGAAAGTTTGATGTGTAATCTGCTCTTCTTCTTCAACCAAGTCAAGACCTTTGAAGACATCTGTCTGTGTTCATGATTGACCCAAGGACTGTGTTCAGATGCACATTCAGTTTTGATCAGCACTAAAATCACACCGCTGGCATCACTTTCCTGACTCTCTTAAGCAGTGAGTGCTTTTGGACAGCATGAATTTTTCTCAGAGCGCATCAACAAAGCCTTGTGGATCAAAGATAGAAAATACATTTATACCGAGTGGCAGTAGGATGAAAGCTATACAACCCCAAAGCATGATTTGAGGCATTTGTGCTCAGGATGCGGAGCCACATCACATGGAGCCTAGAGATGTTCTTGGACACAAAACAGTGCATCCACAAACACCATATAAAGCGGGTGTTTGGGAGCGCAAGCTACAATGTGAAAGTACACATGAGTCGATGTCAAGGTGTGATTTCATAAAATAAAAATGTTATCACTGGCTGGTTTTGAACCTGCGCAGTGCAGGAGAAGCAGATTTTGACTCTGATGATCACTTGACAATTTTATCTCTAGCAGGTTTTGAACCCACACAGACAGATTTGGATTCTGTTGCATCAACTGCTTGGCTAAGACCAGTTAGATGCACTCCTAATGAATCCATTCGGAAAGTGGATCCTTGATGTACATTTATCTGCATTTTGTCAGCTCTAACGTTAATTTCTAACATTCTCTTTGAGTCCAATCATATGTGATCCTTCATGATATTGCAAGAACTGCCTTTAGGATTCACTTGTGAATGGGTCCATTGGAAGTGCATTTCACTGGTCTTAGCCAAGCAGTTGATATGACAGAATCTAAATCTGTCTGTGTGGGTTCAAAACCTGCTAAAGATAAAATTATCAAGTGATCACCAGAGTCAAAATCTGTTTCTCTTGAAATGTGCAGGTTTGAAACCTGCCTATGATGAAATTTATTTTCTATGAAAACACATCTTGACATTGTCTCATGAATTATTTTCTCAACAACTCATCTCAACTGATGTTGGCCATGTCATTGCTGCAATAGATTCAAAATCTGTTTCCATTGAAGTCTACAGGTTTGAAACCCATTGAGTGACACATTTTTTGTATTAGAACATGTCTTGGATATCTGCTCATAGACAGCATTTCAAATATTGATCCTCATCGGTCTTAGTCAAGTTGTCACCAGAGTCAAAATCTGTTTCTCTTGAACTGTGCAGGTTTCAAACCTACCAATGATAATATTTTTATTTTTATTCTATGAAATCGCACCTTCACATTTCCATATGAATCTTAAAATGAATTGGAAGGCCTCAATTTTCTGGTGGCATCACGACTTTCTTGGAAGAGAAACCAAAAAAAAATTCAAAGCTGGTGTATGGAACCATGTTCCACTGCTAGCCTTGCAGCAGCTTTTTTTATGATCCACGCCAACTGTTGAACATTGTCCGAGTCACTGACTCTCTATCATATCCAACTCAATATGCATCAAACTTGAAAATATCAAACATCAGACATCAGGTTTCACATCGGCCAATCAGATATCACACACACTCATGCTACCCATGTCTCATCCTGTCCTGCTAGTCCTGCTAGGTGCGCAGTTTGTTATTTCTCACATTACTCACATCATAGACGGGTGTTATTACATGTTTTCCCATAGTCTGCAGCACCTCTTATCTTATTACATAGAACATTGGACCTAATATCATGCCACAACTTTTGCCTACATACTTCTGTATTTCTACGTAGATAGATAAATAGTTGGACTTACTCCAGTATCACCACGATTCTAGTAGAGGTGAGCACTTCTCTGATACTTAGACTCACGACTTATATTGGTTTGACCTATGAAGATCAAAGTCTGAGGCTGTCCATGAGCAAATATTTAATTGAGCATGTTGCAATATGAAAAAAAAAAAAAAAAGTGTGTCATCTGACAGGTCTCAAACCTGCAGACTTTGATGAGAACACATTTGGAATCTATCATAGCAATGATGTGGCTGAGACCATTTTTAAATGAATTTTTGAGAAAACTATTCATGAGAAAATGTTATTATTGGCAGGTTTCAAACCTGCACAGTGCAATAGAAACAGATTTTGACTCTGGTGACAACTCAACTAAGACTGATGAAGATCAGTGTCTGAGAGACTGTCTGTGGTTCAATATTCAAGGCATGTTCTAATAGAAAAAATGCAGCATTCAATGGGTTTCAGACTGTCAAGGTGCATTTTCATAAAATAAAAATGTTATTATAAGCAGGTTTCAAAGCCGCACTATCCAAGAGAAACAGATTTTGACTCTAATAATCACTTGACAATTTCATCTTTAGCAGGTTTGGAACCCACGCAGACAGATTTAGATTCTGTCATATCAACTGCTTGGCTACGACCAGTTAGATAAGATTAATGTGTGCGATGATTAACGCGTTTGATTTCGACGAACAGTCTTTGAAGTCACGAGGTCACACGGTCAAATCCAAAGGTGACTACTCACACCCGATTTCATCAGCGTCCAAGAATTGAATTCGTTCCTACAGGCTAAGTGAATTTTATTTATCTTACTACCACTTTCCATTAACCTAAGTGCTCTCTTGCTCCTTGCTACTTCCATTGTGTTTGTTCGAGCACCAACTCCTTCCTGCCCAATG